ATTGACATGTTTGCATTTAGCTTTTCCAAGTACGTGTCGATTTCAATGACAGATTTTCTGAACACGGGATTTTTTGCAATCATTTCTGCACACATTCCTGTCCATGTTGTTCCCACACCACAGAAGACAAATACTATATTTTGTGACTTAGAAAACGTTCCAGAAACAGTTTGGTCATCATTTTTTGCAACGTATTTTAATTGGTCATTTAGATTACTTATTGAATTTGCAACTATCAATTCACGGTATTTGAAATGCTCCCTACGAAGAACAGATGTATACGATATATCCTCTAGCTTTTCATTCAGATTTTGCCTTAGGTCTTGGATTATTTCTTTCAATGATTTTCTTGTAACTGCAGAAACCACAACTACTCTATGATTGGGAAATAACACATCTTTAGTAGAGTCTTTGTTTGTTTTACGAAGTAAACTAAGATTTTCTCTGTTGTATACTATTGCATGTGAATTGGTGCCACCGAAACCAAAACAATTGATTGATGCTAATCTACAGCCTTGGAGATCTTTTTTCCATTCTGCATTGTCTTTGCCAACTACAAATTTGTAACTTTCAAACGGAATGTTTTCGTTCAATTCTTCTGCATTCAAAGATGGCACAAATTGACAATGTTTCATCATCAAAAGAACTTTGATGAGTCCCGCAACACCTGCAGCCGATTCAAGATGTCCTATATTAGTTTTCACTGATCCAATTCTGATGTTATGACCATTAAAATGGGAGCTAAAAAAATCTCCCAAAGCATTGACCTCTATTGGATCACCGACAGGAGTACCAGTGCCTGCAATCAAACACCATTGCTAATTAAAGGACTATTCCCACAGTTATGGAGTTATAGAATAAGACTTGGTTAAAGCGAATAAAGACGTCACTTTTAAGACGGCTGTGTGGTCAAAAATATTTTTAAAATGTTTAAACCTACTAGAAAACAGACCACTGTAAAAAAATATAGGACATTACATTAATCATTTTAGCTCGAATATTAGTATGTATTTTTCTTTACGAAATAAAATTTCCTTCCTAAAAAGAATCATATTTGATATTTTTAGATGAATCTGTTGGGTTATTTGAGGGTAATAAATCGAGCAGCCATACAGCCTTCTTGACTTAATTTGTAAAATTCATAAGGTCATCAGATTTTTAAAACTGTAGGAAATGAAAATTATTCACTGTAAGTATGTTTGTTTTAACTTGCATTGATGAATCGTGTTTTACTGTACTTTTCACTATTTAACTGCAGAATGCATATAGGGCATAAGTTGTAAAATAAATGTAATACTAAAACAATGTATAAAACACACTTGATTTAATTTGAAAACTGAATTCCTTGTATATGATATGCTGTATTTAAAAGATATGATAAAAGACATTTAACAGTAAAACTCGGATTTAAAGAACTCGCGTATAAGGAAATTTAGATTACAAGAACTTTTTCCCGAATCCGTTGAAGACTTTTCTCTGTGTTTCTTATATACCTATATAAAGAATCTCGGTTATAAGCAAGAATAGAGGTCCCAGTGACTTCATTATAACCGTTTTTTTTTTTTTTTGTATCTATAGTATATATTCATATAATTTATTATATTATTTAAAATATATTTTCCTGTATTATCATTTTTAGCAATTGCAATCGAATACAAAATTGCAAATCAGTTAACTGCATCACATTAACGTTCCGACCGATTTATTCTTTACTTCGCGACTACGCAATCGCTCTAACCACTGCGCCACGCGGGCGACTTAAAGGCAATGAAGCAAGCAGTGTGAATTATGCCAAAAAGGGTATCAGCTGCACCATTGTTTTCGTCTATGTCAGCTTCCTGTGACAAATTGTTTATTTCGTAGTATCGTAGAACTTGTACAACATTTGATTTAGCCCTTTCAGGATAACTACATTATTTTTCTCTTAATTTCAATACAGTTTGGCAAAGTTTTAGTTCCCAGATAAGTAAATGACTTTTTTAAGTAAGTAAATTGCTGTCACGTATTTCACCGAAATTTAATTTGTCCTGCAAAAAAGCAGTACCGCAGTTATCGTGAAAAAGTTTATTGGAGCATGCAAACGTAAATAATATGTTCTGTTTATCTTTTTCAGAAATTCTGTTGAAATTCTCGGTCTACAGACATTTCATCTTTTGGATCATGAAGTTCTTTTAAACTGTACTCTTGCCCTTTTGTGAAGTTACAGTTTTTTCAAAATTTTTCATTAATTTTACTTCTGCCCAAAAGATAAAATTTCTTTTTGACGAATGTTTTTCAACAGATGTAATAAAAAAATAAAGTGTAGTAATGAATTGAAAAGAATAGAGATTACTTTATATCTATATGTAATCAATTATTTGTTCTTTAAAAAAGGAGCAAAGGGCAATAACTCTTATTTTATGTTTCCTCACTCAAGCATTTTGTTTAATAATTCTTATATTGTAAACTGGTTTCCCTGAATATCTACAATCATGCACATTTATAAATTTACTATAAAATGGGTCAATTATTAAACCAGATATTCGCGGTTTTGATAATACTCTTTGCAAAAAACAGAATATCTTTAATGCCGACATATACTTATGTCTATGTCTAGCATCTTAAAAAAATGGTGACTTATCCATTTATTTTGATGATCAATTATATCAAATCAAGGAAAGAAAATAAATGGAGTTTTACGTTTTTGAACCCTAATAATTTGAAGGTTTAGCGACCGAAATGAACAGAAGGATCACAAATAGTAAAACCTCAATACAAGGATCTGTTTACAAACCCATGTTACCCACAGAACCTTGAAGTAGAAATAAGAGAACTGTAATTTATATGAGCGAAGTGCATGATAGTTGGACTATGTATTTTGTTTATAACTTTATTTATTGTTATGATATTTGACGAAGTAAGAGAATTAAGCACTATGAGATTGTGAAATACCGTGAGCTTCTATGTATTGAATACTGCTGGGATGTATTGCTGTTTTCTTGAAAATCCTCTCTAATAGTTTGACCTGTTGAACACCCGCGGGTGCCGTAATTGGGGAATTTTCCTGTCCGTCTTGGTTACAGGCGGTGGCTACGATCCCCCAAATCTTGTTGTTGTCACGAATAGCCTGTCATTTAAAATAAGGAATATAAAAAGCAAAAACAATACATAGGTATCCATGTGTTGTATATTTTATTTGACAAGTAAAAATTTTGATGACATTTTACCTTCAACTTTATTTTTGATGTTACCATGAAAACAGTACCCCAGTAAGAGGAGCAAGGATCTGTATATCAATTCTTATTTTTCCCCCAAACATCCCCGTTAAATAGGACTTGAGCAGTCTTTAAAAGGAAAAAAAAGTTATGGATTCTCAGGTATGTACTATAGGGAAAGAAGGAACCTCCTTAAAATATCTACTCAAACGTTGGACTATTGTTCAGAATATTTTTATCCCATTGCAACGATGTTGGAGGGGATTAAGTAACATGCTTGTGGGTGAGTGGGTAAGTGAGTGAGTGCGTGCGTATCGGAAGTTACGCAAGTACTAATTTATCTCGGGATTGATATGTTCTTTTGCAAGGAGATGCTACGCTTTGTAATGCCCTTGTTTCTCTGTTTTTTTTTTTAAACTTTAGATGTGATCTTTCTTACAAATAGGGCCTCAAATTTATCAACAGTCACAAAAACTCCAAAGATTTTTTTTGATATAGATGTTTAGAATTCATTTAAACCCATATATTTTCATTCAATGATCATCTACTCATTAAGGGTTCAAAGTAGAACATGTCTAACTATCTAGTATTGTCTTTGATTTGATGATACTGTCATTAATTTTGAATAAGCATCAGATCATACACCTTCATTAATACGTTATACTTATTAAACTTATTAATGACATGTTCTACATTGTAGCTTTAAATGAAATATGAAGATAACGAACAGTATTCAATCTGGAAAATCCAATGAAACGAAACAAATTTGGAGCACGCAAACACGGACCTCCAAAAACATCAGAGGTGGGATCAGGTGCCATGGAGGAGTGAGAATCCCCTGCCGACCGGTCACACCCGCCGTGTGCTCCTTGTCATGATCGAAAAAAAAAACCCGGAGAAATCCGTAGATAGTTCAGAGTATAAATAATGGCCTAACAATTAGTATGAAAAAGTCAGTCAGCATTTGACTCAATGATAGGTTGTATGTGCTGACAAGGTCATTGTATCGACTGTTAAACTTGCGAAAAGATTACCTAAAAATTGCAGTATCTTTTTATTGAATATTTTACCTGAATGAAACCTATTTTGGAAGATACGATCCCTACCTTTACTTTCGAAAAGTCAAATTCGGTTTTTGTCGTTGAATTATGGGGATAATATCCAACTTGGAGTCCGTGATAATACTTGCATAACCATATTGGAAGATTACATATTCTAAATATTCTCCGATTTCCTGTCACTCAATACACACCAAAATGGACTGTTTTAAGGAACAACTTACAACAGCAAGTCGTTTCAGAATAACGATTCCACATCCCTCTCCTCTGGTGTATCCATCAGCATTCTTAGAAAAAGTGTGGCATTTTCCAGTCTCAGATGCCATTCTTGCTTTTGCCAGCACGATTGGCATTGTAGGGCTAAGGAGGACGTTGATTCCTCCACAAATCGCCATTTCCACCTCTCCTTGAATATTGAAGCAAACAGAGATATAAGTTTATAAATGAAACTATTCTATCGAAAGCTTTATTTAACAAAGTTTGTTTTACAAAATATGCCTATCAAGGATATATTTAACAACTTTGTTTATCAAAGCTATATATTTGATGAAATGTCTATGGGAGCCATATTTAACAAAAATGTTAATCTATGTTTGAGAGAACAAAATGAATGTCTCTCGAAGCTTTTTTCCAATAATTTTTTTGAGAAAGCTATATTTCATAACATATGTGTATGAAAGCTATATTTAGTCAAATATGTCCATCAAAGCTGTGTTTTAATAAAATGTGCTATCAGAGCTTACATCTATCACAGATATGTAAATGCTGAAAATGACTTTTTACCAGATTTGATAGCCTGTTCAGCTGTATGAATCGCAACAAGGGAAGAAGAACAAGCCGTATCCAGAGTAATCGCCGGACCGTGAAGGTTTAAAAAGTAGGCCACTCTGGCCGATATGATGCTTCGACTAAGTCCAGTCACCGAGTAATTGGTCAATTGCTTCAGATCGTGTCCGGCTACAGCTTCATATTCGCCATTCATTACGCCTACAGGAAAAAAAAATATCTAAACAAAAGATATTCTCAGACTGAAATCTATCTACAAATTCACTACAAAATTGTAGGAAAAATTTTATTTTATGAGAGATTTGTCAATGAGGTTAAAGAATTCTCCCTTCAGGGACTAAAATTATATAAAAAATTTTCCATGTCATGTAAAAATCTTAAAGAGCAGGAAAGGCTGATTAATTTTCAATGCAAACATTTTCAAAATTAAATATTATTCGATTTCCTTCAGCAGAAAGAGATCCTATGCAATTTTTTACACACGAGTATTTGTATTCATATTGATAGTTTTGCTTTTAAATATTTTCCAGAAAAACATATCAAACGATTTTTGGGACATAATATAAATAAAAGATGGTTTCCCTTAGAGGTGATGAAGAAAATACTAAACATAATAATAGGCCAAAATTACGCGCTAAACAGTTATTCAAATACATCCCCAATGATGTGCAGAGAGTTATATCTTTCAATGAAATATATGGAAATAACGAACAGTATTCAAGCTCAAAAGTCCATTGAACATTACAAAATAGGTAGAGAGCAAACAAGGAGCTCCAAAACATCAGAGGTGGGATCAGGTGCCATGGAGGAGTGAGCATCCCCTGCCGACCGGTCACACCCGTCGTGTGCTCCTTGTCATGATCGGGAAGTAACGGGAAAATCCGTCGACAATTTAGTGTGTAAATAATGGCCTAACAATTAGTATGAAAAACGTCAGTCAGCATTTGACTCAATGATAAATTGTATTTGCTAACAAGGTCATGATCTAAATTAGAATGACTTTCCATGGTTTACATTTTCATACATTTGTAAATAGTGAAAACATTATAGAGAAAGACTCAAACTTACCTAAGTACACTCCCGTATCTGATTGATTGAAGTCTGACTTTGTAAATCCGCCATCTTCCATAGCTCTGTAGACACACTCCAGAACTATCTGTTGTTGGGGGTCCATTGTCTTTGCTTCATTCTCCCCAATTCCAAAAAATCTATTATCCCATTGGCTGATTCTGAAAGCATGAAGTAATAACATAAATGATTCAAGTAAATAAATGAGGAAAAAAAATTTGGAGCAAATGAGTGTTATATGTATAAATATTCATGGATCATAAGAAATGTGACCACTATAAATATTATAAATATTCATGGATCATAAAAAAATGTGACCATTATAAAGAAGATCTATCCAAAACTCCTATTGGAAACATAGAGGTGGGATGAGATGCCTAGGAGGAAAAGCATCCCCTGTCGACCGGTCACAGCTGCCCTGATCCCTCTGTATTGAACAGAGTAACCCATACTCAAAAGTAGTATAAGAACAATGGCATATCAATTTATATGAAATGTCAATCAAAATATGACTTAACGATAGGTTGTATTTGCAAACGAGACCATTATAACGACCAGGGAATTTGCAAAATGCGACTTTAAACGAGATTGTTGAAAGTAAAGTAACATTTGTCAGTAGCTTGTCTCTGTTCAGAAATTGATCGTACTCAGAGCATGCCCTTGTGTACCAATGCATTTGGGAGACATAAACACTATATGCAGCAGATAGTGGGATGATACGGCATAAATAAGGGAAGTTGACGATTGAAAAGCTGAAGTCACCTCGTTTGTCATATAGACAATCTAAAAGATTTTAAATATTATGACCAATAAATTATGCCAGTTTAAGGCAATTTCGGGAAGCATTGAACAATTTTTTACAACACTATACATGTGACTGGAAATATAAAGTTTGTGGAAAATAAAGAAAAATGACCTTATTAATTACGTATTCAATTGTTTGATTTTATACCAAAATGGTCAAACGGTAGGCGTATTATATATTCAGATATTCCCGGTATTAATTAAAGATCATGTACAATACCTACAATGTATATGTTTTGATATTTAATAATACACAGTATTCATGTTTTCCAGATAATACATTTTATGCTAAGATTTTGAAGTGTTTTCACAGGATGAAGCTGCACCATTTAGTCATCTGAAAGTTTACAGAAAGGTCCGGAAAGGTGACTGAATGTCAGAGCACCGTCGTTAATCACCTTTCAGTAATCGTTCTGTAAACGTTCAGTAAACTGAATAGCATAGCTTCATCCTGTGTTAAATTTTCGAAAATATTCATTGTGATTTCAAAGAAAACGTTCTTTTAAATCAGAATTTACAATCATTTTTAAAACTCCATATAGGATTTTTCTCCCTTTGAATCTTATTTAGAATGTTTAATTCATTAAACCGAACCAGTAAAATACATATTTATGATTAAAATGATTTATCCTCCATTTTAAAAAAAATGACTTTTTTCGGATCTTGATTTACAAATTTCCTTATCTTTTGTTCCGTATATGCTATGAAATACATTTTCCCAGCCTGCCTGTTTCTTTAAAAGCTAAATCTTAATTTAATCATTTTCAAATATTTATTTTTTTATATAATAACGTGCCCATTTGTACTGATAAGTATGCTTTACAGTTTCGTTTAATGTTTTCAGTAGGAGGTTTATGAATAGTTATTTGATGTGCAATTTCTGTTTTCCAAATTCTTGATACTAGTTTTCAAAATTTGTGTATTTATTAATGCACGTATCTTCTTTTTCTCTTTATTTAGATAATGAGTATTCACTTTTCTGATATCTATATATTCTTTCATTTATTAGGAATTAAAACTACTGAATTTATCCATTACCATTTCTGAATCTTTTATCTCGAATTTGTTGAATATAAAATTTGCAACTGAATTTCTCTCGGAGTCCCACATTCCTATAACATTGTATACATCCCTTGTAGTAAAATATTGCAAGAAAAATACTTCATTTTTTTAATATAACAGTTTATCTGACGTGCAGCCAACTTAATTCTAAACAGGTTGCTAAGAGCATTATTGTATTCTTTAAGCAAATTGTTGTTACAACCGTTATGCTGTTCAATTTCATTCGTTAGACTTACACGCGTAACAACTTAAAATTAACCTAGTTTATACTAGTATGACCATTAAGTTCATTCTATCTACCTTTAAGTGAAAAAAAATACACGATTTCTCCTTAAGATAGTGAAAACGTGCAAAATTTATTGTAAAGCCAATGTACCTTTATGCTTTAAATTTTAAATCAAGTAACTACATGTATACATGTACTTTATTTTTATAGCTGCCCACATACTCTTTGGTAGTTCTAGATTTACTTTAATTTGCGACATTTAATTTTCATTTATTTTTCCAGTAATTTAAAATTTTTCTTATCAAGGTCCCCATGGCATTGAATCTTTGAGTTTAACACTTAAATTTGCCTCATTAAGAACAGATGATACCAAAAAAATGAATAAAGAAAATAAATAGATAAAAATAAATAAAAAAAATGGTTTGATATACATGTTTTTTTACCCTATTTCGGTTGTAAATGATGCAAATGCTAAATTTCTAAAATATCAAGAAACTGTAAACTTTCTACGATGTTTAAAATTCTTCTTTTAGGACACCCTTATAAATCTATACAACTTTTTAATCACTTTTTGGAACATTACTGTGAAACTTGGAATAAAAAATTAAAATCTATGCGGTTAAACGTATTCATTTTATTACTATACTATCATGACAAAAGTCGTTATTTTCATGATTTTTTTGAAAAAAGCCTTTTTGTATCAAATGTCCTTATCTTGATCCGCAGGTACAGGAATTGCATAAAATGTGGCACCGAGAGGCTTTGCATGAAGTTTACAAAATGGAAAAAGTTGAATAAAGCAAACTGTGATCAGTCTTATACATGTTGTAAAAAACACGAAACATGGCAAGAAATGGACCTCAGAGGCACCAGAGATTTGTTCATGTGTCTTGGAGAAGTTAGCAGTCCCAGTTGACCTGTCACACCCACCGTTAGGCCCTCAAACATGCTTAAAGGATATACAGATCGCAAGACCGTACACGAGAATAGGCATAGCCTAGGTCATTATTTTAGATTAAATTTTTGAAAAAAGAATATGTTTTTCAAATCTAAAAGTATCTTAACGTGCTTTAGTTTAATTATCCATCCTTTTTAACACCGTGATGTTTGTTATTTTAAAATTAAGATAGTCATAATTCATTAAGTGATGTCTATTCTAACGACTAAGACCAAAAACTTAAGTTGATTGTAAAATTTTGCAAAATCAATGATTCTGTTTAAAATTTCTAGCGTAAAATATCTTACTACACTCCTTTTAAAAAGATTAAAACCATTTTTAATATAATGTAAATTAAAACATTATTAGCAGAATTAAACTTTTGTCTTTAGTCTTAGAAAACACTTGCTGTGGCCTTCAACTCGACATTTAGATATATCGACGACGTATTGTCAATTAACAATGGCTATTTCCATTCTTATGTCGATACGATATATCCTTGTGAACTTGAGATAAAAGATACCACAGAGTCTGACACATCTGTTTCATATTTGGATATTTTACTTGAAAAAGACGTTAATGGTAATCTAACAACCAAGCTTTATGATAAACGTGATGACTTTAACTTTTCAATCGTCAACTTCCCTTACTTATGCATCAATATACCTTCATCACCTGCATACGGGGTATATATCTCTCAGTTGATTCGATACGCAAGAGCATGCTCTACGTATGTACAATTTCTAAAACGAGGTAAATTATTGACAGATAGGTTGATGAAACAGGAATATCAGCTGTCTCGTTAAAAGTCATCATTTCGTAAGTTCTATGGTCGATACAATGACCTTGTCAGCAAATACAATTTATCATTGAGTCAAATGCTGACTGATGTCTTTCATACTAATTGTTAGGCCATTATTTACACACTGAATTGTCGACGGATTTTTCCGTTATTTCCCGATCATGACAAGGAGCACACGGCGGGTGTGACCGGTCGGCAGGGGATACTCACTCCTCCATGGCACCTGATCCCACCTCTGATGTTTGGAGGTCCGTGTTTGCTCTGCTCCTATTTTGTATTGATTAATGGACTTTTGAGCTTGAATACTGTTTGTTATCTCCATATATTTCATCGTAAGTTCTCATGTAAAACAGGCCCCTGGTCTTGATATCTTGAAATGTTTTGAACACAAAATTGCTTGTTATAATGCATGTTTATCTCCCATCCTCCCCCAACGCATTTTTAAAATTCATTTCTAACCAATCCAATTCTATTCTATCGAAGCGTGAAATTTTATTATATTTCATTAACTTATTATATATTGTTGTTATTTTTTATCAGGATAATGGGTACTAATACCTCTTATGTTCACTCTTTACCCACATATTCCTATATAAATCTACCTTTAACAAGTCAAACATTTCCAATGCTTTTACTAAGAGGTCCAGAAAATTCGATGTTCAACCGTAGGCGGTTGGGTGAAGGACAATGTTTATGTACACTTTCTTATGCATCCTCGAGAAAATTCGAGCTATATTAAGACACTTAGTCAAGATGTAAGGTGTTTCTTTGTAGTATTCTGTACATCTTTCTGCTTTATAGCGCTAGACTGATTCAGATTTTAAAATTTGAAATATCCCAACTGTATACGAAGAAGAAACTTTATACTCTCAGCTCCTACATTTCACTAATCGGTCCAGCATCGAATAGCTGGACCTCTCATTTAAAAAAAAAATGAAATTTAGATTTTAGTGAAGTTTTATAAAGGAAATACACATGAATTTCTTAACATTAGATCAAAGAAAATAAACTTCCTTTTAACAACACTCTAGGTTTTGAACAGAATATCATAAAGGGTGTTTTTCTTTCTCTTTTGTATTTTTTTTATACCGGTAGTCTGTTTTCAGTTATCGTACATGTATTTCTTTTCTTTTACCAATAAAAATTGCCTTTCTTTTTGACTTTAAAAATACGTATTCATATCTTTCATCAGATGTTGATTTGATAATGTTTTATCTTTTCTTTTTAACATAATTCTTAACTTACAATACAGATCCTGTAATTAGGATAATGGAAAAGTGTTAAGCAGATAAACAATTAAGGGATGTAAAATTGCTTTTCCCAGTAAATGATAAACAAAAACCTGATGAACCATCTAATTGGTGAAGAGTACACAGAAGAAGAAAAAATAAAACTTAAGCAAACTAAATAAAACAAGAATTGATAAAATCATTGCACATACTTTTTTCCGAACCTACGACTTTCCATATGTCCGCGTACGTTTTGCTGCATGTAGGTAAATACTTGCTTTTCAAGCTTTAGGGGTAGCAGCACGAGAACAAAAAAAAAAAAAAAAAAAAAAAGATAAAGAGAGAAAAAGAGAAATGTTGATAGATTTATCTTTCCTACCCTGAAACTATTCCGGCTTTCCTTACATATGTTCTTCCAGGTGCATCAGGATTACTGTCAAAAAAGGCGTCAACATTAAACCTTTCCTTTGGAATATCCTGTATATGATCTTCGCCATTTTTTAGGACCCGCCAAAATTCTTCCAGGCCATCAGCTCCGGGAAACTTGCAACCAACCCCTACTATTGCTATGGCGTCCTGTCCGTTCATTTTTTCAAATTCAAAATCACATTCATCTTTGATAACATATTCAAATCATCAATCTCTTTTGAGTTGAATGAAAAGTTTAAAATGTGTTTGACTTTATTTTTCTTTACATTTTCTTTTTTAATAATGATGTCAGGTACGGTATAAATTATCATTGGATAAAATTTTGATTGACACTAAGTCGCCGAAATGGAGTGGGATGGTAAAATTTACACTCCGCAGAACAAATCAACAATCAAAAATAGTTAACAACATTGAAAGATAAATTTGTGCTTTTTAGAAATATCGTTATGACATTTTGAAAATAAGAACTCCCGATTTTTAAGAAATTCATCGAAGTAAAACACATATCCGCCTCTTCGATAATCTACACCAATCAAACAGCACTACTACTTGTACGTATATCATTTAAAAAGACAGCACTATTGAACTGGATACATATCATATAATGTTGATAGTAGGTGTGTGAGTAATATCAAGAAGCGAGGACTGGAACGAAAAAAATATTTCAAAAATTATTCTTTCAATCATACATTATTCAAAACTTGAAATGAGATTTCTGTCTTTGTAAAAATCAGAACGAAAAAAAATTATGTATTATTTATTAAGAATAGACACTTAACCAAAATGAAAAGATAAATTAATGGGTTTTTTTTTTTATTTTGTAGCTACAAATAAACACTTCTTGCAAATATAATTCTTTCATAGCTAAACTAAGCATAACCTGATGAAAGAAAAGGAATTAAATTAATCAATTTGGATAAAATACAATATACTAAGTAATAATGATTTATACATCTCTGACTTGTAAAATTACTATGTATGATATAGATATTTTGTTATGACGGCTTAAAAATTGGAATACATGTAATTTTGATATACATGATTATATATTAAGTATATATCGTCATTTTCAGATTATCTAACAGATATCCAAAAGCAATTCTCATTATTCCTTTATATTCCGTTTTTATGCTAGAAAACTTAGTAATAGATCTTTATAAGAAAGAAGCAAAAATTTTGATATCTTGATTTATTAAATCGATGGAAATTACTGAAGATAAAAGAGTCGACTATATGTCAATTATCATGTTGTATAATTGCACTATTCGAGATGTACCTTTAACTTTTTCTGGGCACAACAGGATTCACTTGCATTCACTATTTGTAGAATCGTGACGGATCGTTCATGTAACGTGCTTAATCGTGCATGCATCAAATTAAATCGTTTCGGTTTTTAATCGTGCTTGTAGTGCAACATACACGTTTCCTTTTAACAGTTTTTCTTATCAGAAAATTAAAGGCAATGATCTTTAAAAAAAAAAAAAACTTGCTTATTGACGGAGTTTTGCATTGAAAAAAAAAAATCAGATCATCGTCTGCAATATAAGATTAAATGTACTAAGTAGCAATACGTATAATTTTAGGTACTTTCATTATAAATATATATATATATATATATATATATATATATATATATATATATATATATATATATATATATATATATATATATATATATATATATATATATATATATATATATATATATATATATATATATATATATATATATATATATATATATATATATATATATATATATATAAACTATTTATGTGATTAAAATTGTTGTATTTGTTATAGGCCAGTCATGCAGATTATCTGACCATTCGATGTTGAAAATAGATTTGATATAATTTAACACCTTTCTCAAAATACCTTACATATTTTTTCATCCCTCCCCTCTTTCAATCAGGATTCTCATGTTCAAACCTTAATTACATTCGAGGAGATATTGTATTATTCGAAAGGACAATGTACAAAAAATTTAAATACCGGATTCAATATGTCCTAACCTACTAACACAAATAGAGCATTTCGACATCTTTTACAAAAAGCTGTTCGGGGGTGTATAATGTTCTTAATGGTAAGGGTCATTACTTCAACCACAAAAGCATAAAAGAAAAGTACCTAGAAACACGAATAACCAGAAAAGGCTCTCATATTTGTTTCTGGGAATCTATTCTACAAGTCATATTTTTGAAAGTTTTTAGGTATTAAGAACTGAGTTATATGATTTTTTTCTTTTCACTCAAAGCATACAAAAAGAATACTTGGGGAGGAGGACCAAATGAATATTCTTTGACAAGCAGAGTTGCTGAGGGGTCTTAAACGTAAATAAAATTAGTTTATTATTGCAAAGTTTACACATGCAAAATTATTGGGGGCACCCTCTACTCCTTGCGCCATGGTTAGTACTTAACGTTGATAATCTTGCATATATGAAATCAACGTTATTATAGTAAAAAAAATGGGTTACAGAAACTAGATAGAAAGTCTTTAATCTTTCCGTTTGGAGAAATTTCTGAATATGTGTGTTTTACAGTACGGAAAAGTATTAGTTTTTTTAGCATTTTAAAATCTTATCAAAACGAAAACTTTAGCCCCAAACTTGATGGTATTCCATTTGGGTAAAAAATGTATGACCTTGTAAACTTTTCAAATTGTTATGAAGTAGCCCAAATCAGGAATGACTATTTCATAACTTTAAAGCACTATATGCAAATGAATTTTAATCATATTTTAAAATTTGAATTTGAATTCAAAGATGACAGTAACCACAAAATTTACAACATGACAGTTAGATGTCATATTACAAATTCGCATAGTTGCCACCAAGCAAATACAAAATTTACAAATGTTCATGTATATGATTTTAAGACGTGTGCAATATAATTTTTTGAACGGTTATGTTTAAAGGAGAACTATCGTTTGATGAATTTCGAAGTAACTAATCTTCATTAAAGAGAGTAATCAAATATAATGGTTCTTAGAACACTTTCTGAATTTTATCCTTATCTTTGTAGAATGAGTCACTGCATCTACATTGTAGTATGTATTAAAAAGTTGCCATTCATTTTAGTAACATCCAGATATTCCCCTTTACTGCTGAATGATAATGTACAGAACTGTTGTAATACTAAGTTACCATATATTTGGTCATTTTTGATAACATTATAAAGTTTTTTATGGTTGAGTTTAGAGCTTAATTGTGAGAATTCATATTGAAAGGTGAAATGAAACGAAATATAGAGATAACGAACAGTATTCAAGCTCAAAGTCCATTTAGACAGTACAAATTTGGAGCAGAGCAAACACGGACCTCCAAAAACATCAGAGGTGGGATCAGGTGCCATGGAGGAGTGAGCATCACCTGCCGACCGGTCAAACCCGCCGTGTGCTGCTTGTCATGATCGGGAACACGGAAAAAATCCGTAGACAATTCAGTGTGTAAATAATGGCTTAACAAATAGTATGAAAAACGTCAGCCAGAATTTGACTTAATGAAAGGTTGTATTTGCTGACAAGGTCATTGTATCGACCATAAAACTTGCGAAATGATGACTTTAAACGAAACTGTTGATATCCTTGTTTCATCAACTTGTTTGTCAATAGCTTGCCTCGTTTTAGAAATTGTTCATACGTAGAGCATGCTCTTGCATATCGAATCAACTGGGAGACAAAAAACCCGTATGCAGGTGATAAGGGTATATTGCTACATAAGTAAGGGAAGTTGACGATTGTAAAGATTGAAGTCAGCAAGTTTATCATAAAGTTTTATTGTTAGGTTACCATTAAAGTCTTTTTCTAGTAAAATATCCAAATATGAAACAGATGTGTTAGACTCTGTGGTATCTTTTATTTCAAGCTCACTGGGATATATCGAGTAGACATATGAATGGAAGCAACTATTGTTATTTGATAATACGTCGTCGTTATATATAAATGTCGAGTTGAAGGCCACAGCAAGTGTTTTCGTCTTCTCATGTAGACATTTTTGAATAAATTCTGCTTCATATGATTACAAAAATAGGTCTGCTACATATGTAACAAGGAGACGCAATTGGTACCCATGGGAATTTCAACAGATTGTTGAAAGACCTGATCTCCAAAAACTACATAGATATTGTCAATCAGAAACTCAAGTATCTTTTTAATACCAACTTCAGAGTACTTGTGTGTACAATCAGAATGCTTTTTAACAAAATAATTTTGCAAATATGTCAAGGTAAGAATATTTACGAGTTCCATTTTTATTAAAAAAAGCATCTGTCTATGATGCCAAAAAGCCTGGACTTTAATTTATCCTTAGGAATGGTTGTATAAAGTGTTGAAAAGTCGTACGTTTTGATACTATTGATTTTGTTAAAATTTTGTGATTTCAAATTTTCTAAAAGGTATGACAGGGATTCAATGGGCCGACTTGGGTTTCCATTGTGCAATACTTCCCGCAGCATAGTGAAGTAAACCGTATTTACACTTTTTATTTACTTGTATTTGTAATTTAAATAAAATACTATGTAATTTTAATTACTTTTCAATTACATTAATCTTAATAACTATAAATATTTCATATTCATGATCTAATTGGCAAATATCTCCACAACAGCAACATTGTACTGTCCTTTTTACCTGCAAAAAAAAAAAAAATATTTTTTTGTGGACTGATTATTACAAAACTTAATAAGTATGACGCGTTTCAAAATCATACCAGAAAATTGGTACGGTAGTGTTTGTGGATTTTCTCTTAGGGCGTATTTAATCAGAGCACTCTGTACTAAATTTACAACAGTTTCCTTTTTGCCTTTATTTAACAGATAGATTAGCCACACATAAAGCGGAAACACTGATCCACAATATTAAGGATAAATATCGAATCGTGGAATGTATGAAATTTATCCATTAGAAATTGTATCCTAAACAGCTTGTGAATTGGGGCAAATACTTTCTCACAAATTTTTATACTCTTGTTTACATTAATTTCACAAATAGTTTTGATCGAGAAATATAAATCATGTCATGCATTTCCTTCTTTTGAAAAGAGAAAAATTAATGTAAATGATTTTCTTGTAGCACTTTAAAGAAATAATAAACATATAAATGTCACCTCTTATTATTAAATTCTTTTTTAAATTTGCATTTTATTTGTGACCATTTTA